TTAATTCAGCTCAAGTCCAAAATCCAAAAAATTCCTCTCATCTGTGAAATCCAGAACACAAGTTACCTGCTTCCAAAGTACAATGGTGGAACAGACACAAGCTAGACATTTTTGTTACAAATGGAAGAAACTGGAGGGAAAAAAGGGATAACAGGCACCAAGCAAGTCAGCAAAACACATTACAAATACACATTAGCCCTCAAGGCTTGAAAATAATCCTCTGTTCTCTGAGACCATTTATACAAAGGCCCTGCCCTCCAGATTCTCTGTATTCCACACTCTCTGGATTCTGAGTGGAGGCCCCTTGGCCCTGGGCTTCAGCTCCACCTTCCAGGCCCACTGGAATGGCAACTCTGCTCCCTCAGCTTTGGCAGCCCCATTCTCCTAGTCCATCTGAGTGGTGACTCTACCCTTTGAAACCCCATAGGTCGTGGCCCTACTGAGGCAGCTCTACTTCCTGTGCTCCTTGTCTCTTCAGCTTCTGCTTCCTGGTTCCTTGGCCTCTTGGCCCCTCAGGCCTCTCTGCCCGTGTCTGCCCTGCAAGTTCTCCAAAGCTCTTCAGCTCCACCAATAAGTGCCTGGAGGCGTACCACGCTGCCAGTAAACCTCAGCGGGAAGACACTCAGCTTTCTTGCTCCATGAGTCAGCAAGTCTAGCTCCACCAATAAGTGCTCAGAGGCACTCCATTCCACCAGGAAGCCTCCTGAGCAAAGGTACTCAGCTCTCTCGCTCCCAGATCGGCTCCAGCACTTTCTCACGCTGGTCTCCTGGTTCTGCTGCTGCCATTTCTCTGCTGCTGCTTCTCAATGTCTGTGCCATCTCCACTGTAAAAGCTCTCCTCATTTCCTTCTGAGTCCTTACCAGAATTATCTTTGATGTCCATAATTCCACCAACAGTGTCTTCAAGGAAATCTAAGTTTTTACTATTAGGCACTCTAAAACTTTCAGCCTCTACCTATTCACGGTTTCAAAACTGCTTCCACAGTTTAGGTATCTGTTAGAGCTGCACCCCCACTCTCTTGGTACTTAATTCTGTCTTAGTTATCTAGTGCTGCTATAACAAAAATACCACAAGTGGGTGGCTTTAACAAACAGAAATTTATTCTCTCACAGTCTAGAAGGCTAAAAGTCAGAATTCAGGGCACCAGCTCCAGGGAAAGGCTTTCTCTCTCTGTTGTCTCTGGAGGAAGGCCCTTGTCATCAATCTTCCTTGGTCAAGGAGCTTCTCAGTGCAGGGACCCTGGGTCCAAAGGACGAGCTATTCTTCTGGCTCTTGTTTCTTGGTGATATGAGGTCCCTATGTCTTTCTGCTTGCTTCTCTCTTTTATATCTCAAAAGAGATTGACTTAAGACACAACCTAATCTTATAGACTGAGTCCAGCCTCATTAACATAACTGCCACTAATCCCACCTCATTAACATCACAGAGGTAGGATTTACAACACATAGGAAAATGACATCAGATGATATAATGGTGGACAATCACATAATACTGGGAATCATGTACTAGCCAAGTTGACACATATTTTTGGGGGAACACAACTCAACGCATAACAACCATCATGGCCAAGTTTAGGGTCTGTTAAAAAAAGTTAAACAGCTGAAGGAAATGATTAGAAATTATTCCAAAGACATTATCTAAAGATCTATTTCTGGAAGAAAACTTCCGATTTCTTAATATATATTTGGTCTCTGAAAAGGCCAGCACATGCATTGTATCTATTTCATAGTGACGAGTATATAGAGATAGCAGCCCCCCCACCCCCTGGTGCCGTTGAGTCGATTCCAACTCATAGCAACCCCTTAGGGTTTCCAAGGCTCTAAATTTCTAAGTAAGCAGGCTGCCACATCTTTCTCCCGCACAGCTGCTGGTGGTTTCGAACTGCCAACCTTTCGCTTAGCAGTTGATCGCTTTTAACCACTGCACCACCAGTGTTCCTTGAGATGACAGTATTCACTATAAAACTAATTTCCAGAATTCCAGTATCTGAAAAGTCTTCATATTTGATGTATTGTAATTCAGTTTTGGGAGGGAGCAGGTGTGGCTCTAATGTTTCCTCACAAAATCGTATCAATTCTACTTTTGTTGACTTCAACCTCTTTCAAGGGATAACTGACATTGTGAGAGTCCTATCAACACTATGAATCCCTGTAGAAACATTTCAGCAGACTTTCTGGGTCACTAAAGCCTAGGAAACAAACCTCATTATTCATGGAGATAACTTAAAGCGTAGAAGAAACAAAAAAAGAACTCTCAAAATTCCTTGGAATAAGTAGTTTAAGGGCCAGAAAGAGGTCTTGGATACTAGTGAAACATCTACAGATGAGAGCCTAGTTCTCTAGCGGTCCTGTTGTTCTTACCAATAAGCTGTGTGGCATAATCCAAACTCAGAAAGCATTCATTTACTTTGTATTTGCCAAACGATATATCATATTGTGAATAAAAAAATCTGTACACCCCCAAATCGGTTATTCCTTATTTTCATGCATTGGATTCATTTTTTGTGCCTTTGGAATGGTTTCTGTGATATAAAGAGCTTACGCTGTACTGTTAAATAATACATCAAATTTTCTCAAAAGAATCTTCATCATATATTTGTTTGGATCACTGAATCCATCTTGTGTGAACAAAACAAGAGTTGTACTCCAGGCTCCTCCAAATGAAATAATGAAAAAAAATTAGCAAAAAATATTTATTAAATATTAAAAATAAGTGTTTTACTTAAAAATAAAACACTACACCCTATTGGGAATGGCCCCTGGAAATAATGGACAAAGAAGCAATTAGCGAGAAAAAGCAAATGGCTGAAATGGACCTCAAATTAAGGAATACTCTACACTGATCTCTATTCAATACCTACTACGCTGTAATTGTATTTCATTTTCTGAACTACAAGCTGCTTGAGGGTAAATATTGTGTCTTTTTTCCTACAATTTTTAGTGTACCTCTGACACCTAGAAATAATAAAAATAGCTAGTTAGCATTTGTCACGTGTGTTAGGCACTGCCGGTTCTTTACTATACATTATCTCTACTCCTCTCAACAACCTACATGATGATTAGTTCCAACTTACAGATGAAGAAATTGAAGCTCACAGAGATTGATTTAACTGAGATTTTACAGTATCTAAGTGACTGAATCACGATCTGAACATAAGTCTGAGAACTCACTGTTTCCATCATACCATCCACTCTATTCATTTATTGAGTAGTAGTAAATACGTTTGCTGAATTGATCAATGTTTTTCTATCTTATTCAGAATAGAGATTTTATTCTGATCATGGAAATCCTTTCATTTAACTCACATAACTGTTATTACAAATAAGGCATGATGGAAAAAAGGAAGTCTAGATGTTAAGCAGCTTATGGTCCCATTTGTACAGTATCTCTGAATAAATTTAAGACAGTTATCTAAATGTTCTCAGGATTATTTTATATTCTTAAGAGGAAGGGGTACATGATATCTAGGGAGATAAAATAAAATATTAAGGGTATAAGAAACTTCCAAAATAGTGTTGTCAATATTTTTCAAATGAAGACTTGTCTCCTCCCCCATCTCCTCCTTCTCCTTTTCCCTTTGCATCTCCTCCTCCCTTTCCTCATGCTTTTTGATCTGATTATCCCTCTTTAAATAAAGTGTACATAAAACTTTGTCAAACCTACATGTCAGTGATTTTTAAAGCTCAATATCAACTTTTTTAAATTTTATTATATAATCCAAATCCAATTCTGGATCTAAACATGATGACTTTAGTTTTTTAATCACAATTTTGTACTTGGAGGCTGACGGCAGGTTTTGATGGGTCTTTTATTTTGGAAAATGTAGTTTTGATGTTTTTAAAATCATGGTTTTGTTAAAAAATAATTTGAAGGAATGAAAAATGCAATATGGACACAAAAAATTAGATTATGAAAACACTCAAGGTAAATATTGGGACATAAAATTTGAAATCAAGGTAATTTCTGGAAAATTGACTCCTAAAAGTAAACCAAAAGGCATTCTTCATCTCTGTTTGGTGGGCATCTTTATACAATTAAAATGAAGAACATAGCAAAATTTAACCATGGAGTAAACACTTTCTTCACTTGGCTTCTATGACACTATTACTCTCTTGACTTTCCCTTCTCATTCTCCTTTGCTAACCTATTTTCTCTCTCACTTCTTCACATGGGAGTGCTTCAGGACTCAGTCCTTGGTCTCTTCTCTCTGTATAATCACTCTAATGGTTTGAAATACTATCTATGTGCTAATAACTCCCAAATTTTGATCTCCAGCCCATATGCCTCTCTTCCAGCGAATCATACATCCAATTGACTACTTGACAACACCAATTAGATGACTAAGTGTCTAAAACTTAACATTTCCAAAACTTAAATCTTGATCTTACCTCTCAAATTTGTTCCACCTGCCATCTTCCCCATCTCAACTGATAGTAACTCCATCCTTCCAGATGCTCATGCCAAAAGCCTTGGAGCCATCCTTAACTCTTCTTTCTCTCAAGTCCCCCATTCAAAGTTGGGTACTCTATCTTTCAAAAGAATCTGATCACTTCTTATCACCTCCCTTTGAACTACCCTAGGTCAAAACACTACTTCTCCCCTTCTTCTACTTTCCCTCTCCCACAGTCTATGCTTAAAAGCACCTGAGTCATAGTTTTAAAATGTAAGTTAGATTATGTCATTTCTTTTCTCAAAATCCCCGGGGGGAGGGGGGTCTCCAGTTCACATAAAAGCTAAAGTCCTTACAAAATTCTACCCGATCTGTCCCACAACCCCATCCCTTATTCTCCTCCTTCATCATCTAACTCCTTCTTCTCTGGCCTCTATGGTGTTCCTTGAATATGCTAGGCTTGTCGCTGACTAGGAGCCTTTGAGCTGTTTGCTGTGCGTGAACGGCTTTTCTACCAGATAACTAGCTTTTCCCAGATGAGCAGCTCTTCCCTCCAGACAACTGCATAGCTTAACGTAACCTTTTCAATGAAGCCTTTCCTAAGAATTCTATTTAAAGGTGTAACCTACCCCTATTCATCTTCTTTTATCCTGCTCTATTTTTTACATATCATGTATTACTTTATAGCTGACTACATGATCTATTTACTTACAGAATCTACATTTTTAAGACCATTGCGACGCCGGAAGTAAAAGCTTAAGCAAGGGGTCAGAGAAAGAAGCTATTTCCGGTTCCGTACATACGCTTAGAAGCAAACACCATGGCGAAAGGCGGGGAAAACGGTGGCGGCGGGAAGAAAGGCCTGAAACGAAAAGCTACTTCCGAAGACCCTGAAGAGACTGTAGTCTCTGGGGATGGGACGGCGGAAGGCGGGGCCCAGTCCCCGAAGGCGGCTGCCTTTCCCCCGGGCTTTAGTATTTCGGAGATTAAGAACAAGCAGCGGCGACACTTAATGTTCACGCGGTGGAAGCAGCAGCAGAGGAAGGTAAGTGTGGGACGGATGCGGCGTGGCGCATGCGCGGTGTCCCTCGCCCAGGGTGTAGGTGCCTGGGAAGGAGGTAGGGGAGGTGTTTCGCACATGCGAGATCGTCCCTGTGGAATCCCGGGCGGTCGCGATCTGAGCTCGGTGGTTAATCGGAAAGGGTGATGCCGCGGCTCACGTGACCTGGTCCACTGTCGCCGCTTTGGAGACTCTGAAAGTTCAGCTCTTTGCCTGAGCGTCAAGTTGGAGGCTTCCCTTTTTAGCTAGCTCTTTTCTCGCCTCCCCTATTAGTGAAAATTAGCCCCTCCTGGCCTAGCTCTGGTGGCGCCGTGTTTGAGAGCTCGGCTGCTAACCAGAAGGTCGGCAGTTCGCATCCACCAGCCGCTCCTTGGAAACCCAATGGGGCAGTTTTGCTCTGTCTTATTGGGTCGCTGTTAGTCGGAATCAGCTCGTGAGTCATGGATTTGGTTTGGTTTTGGGGCCTGGACGGCAAACTCTGTCCTGCAGCTTTGCCCCGTCCACCCAATGTTTGTTAATTCCTAGAGTCTATGATAGAGGCAATATATAAAGAAATCCAAAATGTCGCGATTAGTGCTGTAAAAAGTTTCTAGTTAATATTTGCATTGTCTTTTACAGCGCTATTCTCATACTCTTGGAAGGTAAACAAAGAGGTTTAAGCCTCCTGCCCAAGGTCAGAGTACTCATTTGTGATTTATTTGCAATTCAAAACAAACATTTGTTTATTCTTGCCCATCTTAGAACGTCACATACTTGCTTAAACTTTTCCTTTTATTTGCCTGCCTCCTCTTACCGTACTTTTTGAGGCCCTGGACTGTGTCTTATTAACTATAAGTGTCAAGGTGATGTGGAACACAACATCTAACCCATTTTGATGTGCCAGTATGGGGTGGGGGATGTCCTAGAAGACTTTTTGGGACTATGATTTCTAATCTGAGACCTGATGGATTGAGGGTCAGTAGTTGTAAAAAACATATACTTTCTATTGTGCTGCATCCTGTCCAGAAATCTCCAAAAGAAGATACAGATTCACAGCAAAAAACGATGCTAACCAACCTGGGAGTTCTTATTAATTTTAAAAGTGTATTTTGATTATAGAATAGGTAAATAGCTAGTGGTGGTTTTATTGAAAACAACCTGAAAAACTTGTCTTCTCTTTATTTTTAGTGTTTTCCAAGAGAAGCAGCCAGCATAGCTGTGACTTTCTTTAGGATGCAACTGATTAGGAATGCAAAAAAAAAAAAAAAAAAAACTTGTTTATAGATTTTGGACTTTCGCTAAATTTAAGGCCTTATGGTAAAAGATAAGTGAAATTTCAGAGTCTAAAACTCATCAATTTAGACTTTTATGAAGGAATGAGACCTTTGTTAAAGAAATCTTACTGATTGGCCATTATAAAAAGCTTATGTCAGGATGTTTAATAGATTACAAAAATTACCCAGTTTAAATAGTCATAGTTTTGGTGATTTATAGTTTCCGTATGTTTTTGTGATTTAATTGATGATTTCTCAGTACTGTTCTCTTTTTTAAAAACCCTTTAGGAAAAGTTGGCAGCTAAGAAAAAACTTAAGAAGGAGAGAGAGGCTCTTGGTGTTAAGGTAAGATTTTTAAATCTGCTTTATAGCTTATATTAAGAAATGCTTGGAACAGCAGAGGAAGATGGAGACCTGGGAATCTGAGAAGGAAATGGACTGTAGATTTAATTACCTCCATAAACCACCATCTCCATTACCATGAGACCAGAAGAAACGGATGGTTCCCAGCTACCATTACTGAATGTTTTGATCAGGGACCCAACAGGTGGATCCTGATTCAAAAGAGGAAAAGCATGAAACAGAACTTCAAACTCATATGGAAACCAGACTTAGTGGAACCATTGAGACTAGGGGAACCCCTGGCACTAATGCCCAGAAATAATCTTTAAACCTTGAACTGAAACTATCCCAAGAAGCCATCATTAATCTAAAGAGCAGTTTAGCCCAATTAATAAAAATTGTTTTCCTTCATCAGAGTGCTCTTATAAAGAACTATCTATATGAGCTTAATCTGGCAACAGTTAATCTAAAGCATAGATGAGAACTTTAAGGAATGGAGTGTCTAAATTAATGGTGATGAAACTATGAGTAGAGATAGTGAGAATGGTGACACAATGTGAAGTATGTGACCTACATTATTGAACTGTTCATGTAGAAATTATGAATGCATGTATGTTGGGTTATATATATTGCCACCAAAAATAAATAAATGGAAGAAATGCTCCCTCATATCTATGCTGAGTCACCTTCTTGTAAAACTTATCATGGAATATTTCAGATGTATAAAAAGATATGAAAATAATATAACAAACCCCTTCCTGGTCCCTACTCAGCTTAAGAAATAATGCATTAGCAAATAATATTGGAAGCCCCCTGTGTGCTTCTTCCTGATTGCATTCCCCTCAAAAGATAACCACTCTGATGAAATTGGTGTTCATTGTTCCCATTCAGTTCTTTGTATCTTTATATGTTTGTATCCCTAAACAGTAAGCACACCGGTGTTTGTTTTTTATGTCTTCAAAATTATAAATAAATGGTATGTATACTTCTGTAACATGCCCATTTTGCTTAACTTTTTGTGTTTGAGAAGCAGTGACACATCTCCCTGACTTTGGGAATGTGGTAGTTCCCCAGTTTAGGCCTAGAGCTCTTATGACTTGGGCAAAGGTTTTTTGTCAGGCAAGACTGGGAAAAGAGGACAGGGGGCCTTCTGGAGTGGGGTGGGATGTGTATGAATGATAAACTGACACAGGCTGTAAACCTGTGAAGAATGAGAATGGGGAGTGGGAGGAGGGTGAGACACCTGAATGGAGTATGGCAAAGAAGAGCAGAGATAATGCAGCAGGAAAGGTTTTGGCTATTTTTGTAGTGTCAATAGGAAGTGAAAGATTTCTACTGAAAATTTTTAGAAGAATTAAATACCCGTTATTGCACAGTTGTTATTTCATTTAGTTTCCTTTTATTTATAGTTACTCCTAAGTTATGATTTGTACCTGCAAAATTATTAACATGTTCTATAATCTTCCCCTCTCCCATATTTTTAGAAGAGGTACCAAGTAAGGATAAACATTTTTGAGGAGGGGAAAAATGTAAAGACGGTATATAAACTTAACACCCTACTTTTTCATGCATTCTCTTAATAGTGTTAGGTTAAACGATATGAAATTGCCAGTGTTAGACTGTTTCGGCCTGCAAAATCTTAATATATCAAGCAATGTTAGTCCCTTTTTTAACTCTGAATAATCAGTTATAGCAAATTAATATGCTGATCACCATTTGCAAATAGTCTCATTTTTTTAATTGGAAGATGACTTCCTAGGACTGCCTCCTTTAAAAAATTATTTAAAACTTAATCTTTCTTTCATAGAGTAATAAAAAACACAAAGCCCTAAATAGTTCATCAGTTCCTATTTTCTTCATATCTCTGCTAGTATACATATATTTTTGTTTAGTTTTAGTTAGCGTATGCCTACAGTTCTGTGTTCCTGTTCTTTCATTTAGCATTTTATTTATATAATTTCTTGGTGTATTCTGAGTATATGCATGTTTGTTGATATGCCATAATATGTTTAGTCCTTATCCTGTGTTGGACAACTGTTTATTTGCATTTTGAATAGTGGTAATACATACTTCTTTGTATAAATTACTCTGCCTCCCTTTCACTCCTTACCATAAATGCACCAAACTATAGTTACTAGGTCATCAAACAGAAACTAATTTGTAGCGTTTGTGATGTGTTTCCAAATAGCTTTCTGGCAGAATTGGAACAAAGCCACAGACATACGTGTACTTTGTAGTTTTCCTATTTTTTTCTTAACCCTTTGATATTTTTCTCCTATGCCACCAGGGTTTCCAGTGGATAATTATTTTGATCCTTACCTTGTCTCTTTGTTACTTCTGTCTGGTTTTAAGTCTTTTCATTCAGTGTTAGCAATTCTTTCAGCATGTGTGTGTCTGAAAATTAAAAAGCCTTTTATTCAAAGTCAGTAGGATTGTTACAACGGGTTGAAATGAGGAACAAATAGAGTTTTTTCATTATTTGTAGATTTCTGCTATTTTTCCCCAACAGTAATGAAAAAGTATTACTGTGCTAAAGTATACTAGTGTACTAGGTATTAATGCTTCTAAAATTTAATACCTTTTCTTTTATTTAGGCTCCACCAAAGCCTGTACCCAAGACCATTGACAACCAGCGAGTGTATGATGAAACCATAGTAGACCCTCATGATGAAGAGGTAATGTTAGAAGTCTCAAACAAATTTGGGTAACCATACTTGGTAGTTATCTGTTTATATGTTGATATTTTATTTTAAGTGCTGGTGAAGTTGTATAATGGACTGATAATAGATATGATGTTGGCATATTATCTTGTTTACTGTATATTATTTTATAGTTGAATTTCCCAATAATGCTATAGAAAAATGCAGTAATCATTTCTAGGAATGTATTTATGCCTAGATGTACTTTTATATTTATCATTTAATCTCTGAATGGTACCTTTAATAAAAGTTTTTTGTATCATTTGTATCATTTCTTACACTATAGATTTTTGATAGTATTTTAGATATTTTGATACTTTAGAATAGCATTTGATTTTTTTTTTATTGTTGTTTCTTCAAAAACTCTCGGTTTCAAGATAATCTTCCACTTCGCACATTTTTCCTTTAAATCGTGTGTGACGGTGCAGTGAAAGATTCGAAGTTTTAAAACTTGACTTCCCTTATCGACTTTCTTGTTATCTGACATTTCGCATTTACAACGATAGTAAAAAATCTATCCAGCTATCTTCAACATTAACAGCGTACATCTGGCAGTAACAAACACCACGGTGTGAGGCAAGAGTAAGGCTGGCTGTGATGGTTAAGGTTATGTGTCAGCTCGGCTGGGCCATGATTCTCAGTGGTTTGGCAGTTATGTAATGATGTAATTTTTGCATAACAACCTGGTCTTTGGAACCTAACCATGTCAATACATGAGGAGTAGGTGTATTCAAAAAATTGGTAGAGGAAACTTGGGTTTGTAATATTTTGTTTTATAAATACACCAGAATTTACTTAATGTTTGTTAATTATTGGACAACTGAGTTGCTTCCTGGTTATTTATTTGGTTTTTTTTTTGTTTTGTTTTGTTTTGCTTTGTTTTTTGTTTTTTTGCTTTCAAACAGTGCTGCCATCAACATTCTTTCACATACCTCCTGGCATAATCATTTATTCATTTATTTAGTCAGTAGTCAGTCTTCCAGCACATGTTTATTGAGCACTTGCTGTGTATAGGCTGTTTTAGGGACTTGAGATCCATCAGTGCACAAAACTGACTCTGCATCTTTGTCACACACATATGCACATGAACACACAAGTTCTGCAGGTGATTGGTTTCTAAAGGAAGAAAGTAGGATAAAGAGATTTAGGAGTACCTGTAGTAGAGAGGGCCTGCAATTTTATGTATGTATATATGTACACATATATATATGTAGGCATTTTAATTTTATTTGTTTTAACCTAACTTCAGACTTAATAGAATTGTAGCAGTCTATATAAACCCTTCACCTAGATTTCCTAAATGTTAACTTGCACCACACTTGGTTTTCATTTATATTCTCTCTGGAATGTTAGAAAGTAAGTAACAGACATGATGCTCCTTTACTCCTGTGTTATACTTCAGTGTGTTTTACCATATCAAAACCAGTCAATTAATATTGATTTCCAAGGAGCACCTGGTGCATTCCAAATGCCGATCTTTTCATTAGCTGCCGAACTCTTGACCACCACGCCATCAGGGTTTCCCATGAATATTGATAGACAGTATTATTATCTAATCTGTAGATCTTATTCATGTTACATCATTTGTCCCAATAATGTCCTTTTTTAACAAAAGAAAAATCTCGGGTCATGCATTTTATTCCATTGTAGTGGCCCTTTAACCTTTTTTAATCCAAAACAATTTCTCAGTCTTTCCTTTTCATGATGCTGACATTTTTGAAGAGTGCAGACTAGGTATTCTGTAGAATGCCCCTCATGGTGAGTTTGTTTGATGTTTCCTCGTGATTAGGTGCAGTTATGTACTTTTTGATAGGAATACCACAGATGTGATATGTTCTTTTCAGTGCCTCATATGAAGAGTCACTTGATCTTGATTTATCTGTTACTGGTGATTTCAACTGCCAGATTTCTCCGCAGTAAAATTATGATTTTCCCCTTTGTAAGTAAGTAGTATTATGGGAGGACATACTTTGAGATGTTTAAATGTCCTGTTACTCCTGAGACTTTCACTCTATATTATTACAAATAATACTACAATTAGTAACCTCATGTATAGTATTTTCATATTGTTGGAGCTGTATTTTCCATGAAAATTACTAGAAGTAAGATTGTTGTGTCAGGAGGTGAAATTGTTGGGTCAAAAGGTAGTGCGTGTGCAGTTTTGTTAAATACTGTCACGTTCCCCTCCCTAAGGGTTGTACCAGTTTACATTCTCACCAGCAGTGTGTGAGAGTTTCTGTTTCCCTAATCTTGCTGAGGGTGTGTAGTTATACTTTTTAACATTTTCCAGTCTAAATAGATGAGAAGTTGTATTTCAGTGTAGTTTTAATTTGCAATTCTCTTGTTATGAATGAAGTTGAACATATTTTCATGTTTTCTTTTTTTATTATATTTACATATAACAAAAAATTTGCCATTTTTAAGGGTGCAATTCAGTGACATTAATTGCATTAACAGTATTGTGCAATCATCACCACTCTCTGTTTACAAAACTTTTTCATCAACCCAAACAGAAACTCAGAATCTGTTAAGCAATAACTCTCTATTTCCCTCTCCTCCCAGTCCCTGGTAACCACTCATAAACTTTTGTCTCTATGCACGTGCATATTCTACGCATCTCATATAAGTAGGATCATACAATACTGGTCATTTTGTGTCTGACTTACTTCACTTAAAATAATGTTTTCAAGATTCATCCATCTTATATATCAGAACTTCATTTCTCTGTGCGGCTGAATAATATTCCATTGCATGTATATACCACATTTTTTTAATCCATTCATCTGTTAATGGACAATTTAGGCTGTTTACACTTTTGACTATTTTGAGTAGTGCTTCAGTGAACATTGTGTAAAAGTATCTGTGTCTTTGCTGTCAGGTATTTTGGGTATACACCTAGGAGTGAAATTGCTGGATCGTATAGTAATTCTGGAGCCCTGGTGGCACAGTGGTTAAGAGCTCAGCTCTAACCAGAAAGTCGGCAGTTTGAATCCACCAACTGCTCCTTGGAAACCCTATGGGGCAGTTCTACTCTGTCCTATAGGGTCACAATGAGCTGGCATCAACTGAATGGCAGCGAATTTAGGTTTTGTTTTATAGTAATTCTGTTTAACTTTTTGAGGACCTGCCAAACTGTTTTTCACACGCTGTACATTTTGGAGCCCTGATGGCACAGTGATTAAGAGCTGGGCTGCTAACCAAAAGGTCAGCAATTCAAATCCACCAGCCACTCCTTGGAAAAACCCTATGGGGTGGCTCTGTCCTATGAGTTAGAATTGACTCGATGGCAACAGGTTTGGTTTTGGTACCATTTTACAGTTCCACCAGCAGTGGATGAGTTTTCCAGTTTCTCCACATCCTTGCCAAAACCTGTTGTTTTCTGATTTTTTAATCATAGGCATCCACTCCATCAGTTCTTTACTTTCTTAATTATTTAGTGTATAATAAGCCTTGCTATCTGTTAGGGCAAGTCTCCCCCTGACTCCCATGTTCCTCTCTTCAGGAGTGTTTTGGCCTTTCCTGGGCCTTTGCTCTTACATATAAATAATCGTGCTAAATTAGATCAGTTTGCGGGGCTCTATCTTGATTGCGAGGAGCCCTGGTGGTGCTGCGGTTAAGTGCTCGCCTGCTAACCAAAAAGTTGGCGGTTCGATCCCACCAGCCATTCCATGGGAGAAGGTTGTGGCAGTCTGCTTCCGTAAAGATTACAACCTTGGAAACTCTGTGGGGACAGTTCTACCCTATCCTGTAGGGTCGCTATGAGTTGGAATAGACTCATCGGCAACGAGTTTGGTTTTCTTGGTTATCTTTATTGCTCAACCTAAGTCGTCTTGAATGTAGTTCATAATTTTTTTCAGGCAACTTTTATACATAAATTTATTCCTAGTTATCTTATGTTTTTTCTTATTAGTATAAATTGCATCTTTATGAAGATTGTTTTGTTTGCTGATTTATAAAAATGCAATCGATTTTTGGATAATGATCTTCTTACTAGTAGTTTAGCTAAGCTCTTATTTCTAAAGTTTTGTCTGAATGTTTTCACTTTTCTGTTTTAGATAATTATTTATGTCAGTGACAGTTTTGTTTCTTTCAATTCATTAACAGTTTATTCATTTTTTCCCTAGTTTTGTGCTGACTAGTAGCATAATGTTGAAAAAATAGATAATAAATAGAAAAAGTGATAGTGGGCATCTTCACCATGTTCCTGGTTTTAAAGAGAATGCTTCTAATGTGTCGTCATTAATGATTGTATTATTAATGATAGATTCTCCTTACCAGGTTAGGAAAACTCCCTTTATTATTTTGCCATGCTTTGTTTTGTTTTATCACGAATGGATGTAGAATATTGTCAGATGCTTTTTCTGCACATATTGAGAAGATTATGCATTTTCTTTTCTTCATTGCATTAATCTAGTAAATGATGTTCATACATTTTCTAGTGTTAAACCTGTTTTGCATTCTTAGGATAAACCTAATTTGTTTATGATGTCTTATTATATGATTTTTCAATACATTGTTTTGGTTTGTTAATATTTTGCTTAGAATATGTACATCTGTATTCCTGAGTAAGACTGTGTTAATGTCTCCTTCTCATTCCTAACATTATTTATTTGAGCTTTTTCTTTTCTTGATCAGTTTTCACCAGAGATGTATTTCTTTTGGTATTTTTTTCCAAGTACGTTTTTCCTTGATTCTCTGTATTGAGTCTTTGTTTCCTAATTCATTCATACCTTCTCTTACCTATATTATTTATTTTTCTACTTTCTTTGTATTTATTCTGTTTTTATTTATTTGATTAGCTCATTTTTTTTTAATCTTCTTTTCCTAATACAAGTGTTTAAGGTGATAAAATTTTCTCAGTACCACTTTTGGTATATCTCACAAGTTTTAAAATGTATTATTTTCATTATTGTTTAAATGTATCTCCTTTAATTGAAGATTTCTTTATTTCTTTTTGTAATTTTATTACATTTTTTAAATTTCATTCATTTTCCCCCGACCCTTATTATTTACTTCTGTTTACCTTAGGTTTCATTTATTTGCTTTTTTTCTGGCTTCCTAAGATGGAAGCTTAGATTATTGATTTTAGACTTGTCTTTCTTTCTAACATGAGCACGTAGAGCTCTGGTTTTCCCTCTAAGCACTGCTTTAGCCACATCCCATAAATTTTGATATGTGGTATTTTGATTCTCATTCTGTTAAAGATGTTTTCTGACTTCTCATGTGATTTCTTTGGCTCATTGGTTATTAAGAAATGTGTTGTTTAATTTCCAAATATTTGAGGATTTCCAAGATTTCTTTTTATTGTTGATTTTACTTTAATTTTATTGTGGTTAGCAAACATACTTTGTTTGATTTTAGTCCTTTTCAATTAAAGACCCCTGTTCTATGTCCTAGCATATGATCTATCCTAGAGAATGTTTTATCCTTGTTTTCTGCAGAGGAGAAGTCACCCAACTTCTTTATGTCACCATTAATGGCATTGCCTCCTAGGTGTTCTTTAAATACCTTATCAGCTAGACAATCAGTGCCAAAGAATCCTACTGGAACCACTTTTAAAATCCTGGCTCAGTACATTATTTGTTTGATGTGAATTTTTCTGTCTTCTCTTTTCTCAGGTTGCTTATGATGAAGCTACAGATGAATTTGCTCCTTACTTCAACAGACAGACTTCTCCCAAGATTCTCATTACAACATCAGACAGACCTCATGGGGTAAACACATTGATTAGTATAGTTCTTGAATTCTTAATTTGCTTATATTACTTTGCCTTGAAAACTCTTCAGAAAAGTTAAATCACAAGTTAATTGTTTTCAATAATGCCTATGATCTAAGCTGAATAAAATGTAGTACTGGTGATGTGATATAGATTCACTAAGTATGATTCTTCAGGATAGGGTTTCTTAACCTCAGCACTATTTCACATTTTTCACTGGGTAATTCTTTGTTGTGGGAGGCTATCCTGTACATTATAGGTTGTTTAGCAACATCTCTAGCCTCTTCCCACTAAATGCCAGTAGCACTCATCTTCTGTCACCATTCATGACAACCAAAAATGTCTTCTAGACATTGCCAAATGTCACCTGGGAGTGCAAAATCACCCTCGGTTAAGAACCACTGCTGTAGGATGATCTGACTTTGATAAGGATGGGATACGATTTAGACTTCATTCTTTCCCCAGCTTTGCTCTCTGTTAATTAAACACTATCTTATAATAATTATTGGAGTCCCTGGGTGGTACACTGGTTAATATACTTGGTTGCTAACCGAAAGGTTGAAGGTTCAGGTCCATCCAGAGGTGCTTCAGAAGAAAGGTGATCTACTTCCAAAAATCAGCCATTGAAATCTCATGGAGAACCATTCTACAGTGACACTCAGGGTCTCCGTGAGTTGGAGTTGACTTGATGGCTACTGTATAACAACCATTACTGCTTATGATACCACATAAGATTTTCATTTTTTTTCACTTTTGAGGATTTTTGTTACTTTGTTTTTCAGAGAACAGTACGACTCTGTGAACAGCTTTCCACGGTTATACCAAACTCACATGTTTATTACAGAAGAGGACTGGCTCTGAAAAAAATTATTCCTCAGTGCATCGCAAGAGATTTCACAGATCTTATTGTTATTAATGAAGATCGTAAAACACCAAGTATCCTTTGCTTTTTAAGGAAGCTTCTCTGTCCCTTTTAAAATATATTTAAAAGAATAAGGGATTTATAAAAAATAAGTTGCCTGTAACATTCAGAACATAATTTTTTAACCAAAACATTATGCATCTCTATCCAGGATTCTATGAAGTCATTTTTCCTTCATTCAGCAAACGTTTATCAAGCACATGCTATGGGCAAGGCATTGTTTTAATCCTCAGTAAAAGATGCAGAGAGAAAATCAGTAGTCAGGGAACTCATATAGTCTTCTAGGAGAAATAAGACATGTAAACTAACAATTAAAATGTTACTGTTGTTGTTAGGTGCTGTGGAGTCATCCTTGACAAGTTCAGCATTTTCTCTATTATCATGATGTTGCTTATTGGTCCAGTTGTGAGGATTTTTATTTTCTTTATGTTGAGGTGCAATCCCTACTGAAGGCTATGGACTTTAATCTTCATCAGTAAGTGCTTCAGGTCCTCTTCACTTTCAGCAAGCAACGTTGTGTCATCTGCGTATCACAGGTTGTTAATGAGTCTTCCTCTAACCCTGCTGCTGCATTCTTCTTCATATAGTCCAGCTTCTCGGATTATTTACTCAGCATACAGATTGAATAAGCCTGATGAAAGGATGCAACTCTGATACACACCTTTATTGACTTTAAACCATGCAGTATCCCATTGTTCTGTTCAAACGACTGCCTGTTGATATATGTACAGGTTCTTCATGAGCACAAGTAAATGTACAGTAGTGCTTAGATATTAATTTTATTATAATTTCAAAGAGACTTCATTTTCTTTTCTGATTGATGTCTAGTGATGCACCTGATGGCAAAGTGTTTGTGAAAGATATAGGAAACAGAACTCTTGATTTGCTTTTGTCTTCTTTGTTAACAGAGAATGATCTTTATACTAATAAGGACATTGGTAAGGAGGATTGGAAGTTCATCTTGGATAAAGAGATTATAAGATAATGCCTAGAAACTGAATGAGTTCAGATATCCTGGTTTCAAAAAATACCTCAGCAAACTTGTAAATGAGACTGTACTAGTTTTTGAGAAAGATAAGAGACAGGTAAATAGAGTTAGGATTTTTAAAGGAAGGAGGAAGGAAAAAAAAGTACAGGCATCTTTGTTTCAATCCAGAAGAAACTGTAGAACTAATAATAACTAAAGGAAGCACCTAATAGTGGCGATTCTTAGAGATGAATTTCTTAGCCAGTCACTGTCCTCATTTTTTAAATGTAGGAATTGATACTTTAGAGTTACCACATGGATCACATTAAACATAGAAGGCATAGTGCCTGGCCTGTAGTAGGCATTTTAGTAAATGTGTAGTGGAAAGTAGTATGAAATTAGCTACATAGAGTTGTTACGAGACAGAATTGACTCAATGGCAACAGGTTTGGCTTTGGTTCTGGTCAAGACTGATGATATCCGCC